GTTCAGGAGATTGTCTTGACCAGGACCACACCCCTAAATGCATTGAAGCAACTGCCATGTGATTGGTTGATTAGATAATTACATTAATGAGAAATTGAACAGGTGTTCCTAATAATCCTTTAGGTGAGTGCATATCCCTGAACAATAAGAACAGTTTCTAAACACCTGAACTATTTACACTTTTTTAAACTGCTCCATCAGGTTTCATCTCACCCTGTGTCTTGTGCTCTCATTGGCTGCAGCTCATCGCCGCACTCATTGCCAGTGGCAACTTTTCACGCCTACCGGATTTGGAGTCCCAATGGGAAGGCGAGGTCATTCATGTCCAGCCCCCATCCCATTCCCATTCCGACACGTTTAAAAAACATCCAACTTGACAGGCAAATAAGCACAAATACACAACTATGTGATAATAAGTTCATTCTTTATTGATTAAAAACAATTAAGGGAACATGCACTGAAATCCAAATCCAGAAAAACTGAAAATAAAAAAACCAAACGAAAGGAAACTGAAAGTGGGACAGCTGTGTGTTATATCCTACAAAACACAAAGTGGACTGGAACTGTAATCCTTCCCATTGCTACTTATGGTTAATCTCATTAAATTTATTACAGTTGAGTAAAGAAATAGAGAAAAAATGCATTGAGGGAATAACTGGGAAGTGTTCAATGCAGTTGGACTAGGGTTATGTCCAGAACACACCATGTTCTGTGGTGGGATTATATTTAAACCTGTACTTACAATAAGCTCTAGTACAGGAAAATGGCACAGAATACTTCAAGGTGTGGATAATACTCGACTCTCAAACTCTTCCTTAATGTAATCAACACTGAAGGACAAAGTCAATCTGCATAATTAAGGAGAAGTGACATCCTCAGAGTCATGTGACCGCCTCGCAGTGCCATGTGACCCTCCCCCCCCCCACCCAAAAAAAAAAAAAAAACAAGTTGTGAATGTCTCCAACCCTGTAGGCGAGATCACAGTACCATGTATGAGAAGGAGGACTTGGGGTATTTCACATTGAACTGGAGAATGGGATAAAAATAATTGGAAAATTTTGGCATAATTGGCCATAAAGTGACAGGGCATTACCCTAGACCTGTGAGATAGACCCAATAATGCATTAAGTGACTACACATTGTCCCTTAAAAGCACTCAGTCCTATATATTCAAGAGGCATGACTGTTAAGTCTATCAAGAAAGGAATCGAAAAACACTAACTGATCTTTCCCTTCACCAGCTGCCAGCCATCAAAGTGAACCTTAAGAAAATGCATTGGAATGTGACATCACAAAGGAATTATAGGAAATCGGCCTGCTGGATGGAAAGAATCCAATATCATCATTGCTAAATTCACTAATGTGTCTGAGGTGGGGGTAGGGATACCAGAAACCCTTTAACTAACAATACCTGTGGGCTGACTTCATTCGTGAGCTGTTAAGAAGCTGAGGAAAGTATAGAAATATTTAAGGCTCAAATTCAAAACTCCTGACCAAAAAAAAAAACCTAATACCTCTTTCCACTCCATTAAAAACAAAGTCGTGATGAAAGAGCAATCCAAAAAAGAAGAGAAATATGTGCACATTTTAATGCAGGACAAACTTATTAAAACCAGATGGGAACAGGCATAAAGGGAGGTCACAGGCGTGCTGTCAGGACCAGAATGTGGGAGACTTACTGAGAAATCCATGCTTGCAACAGGCCAGAAAACTATTTTTAGACAATAACCCCCATTTTGGCTTTTGGGTTGTGTGTGTAGCTTTGAGCGAAGGTGAGAACATCTGCTTAGGAAAAGGTGACCCCATGCTGGGAGAAAGACGGCTCTTTTTAGGCAACCTCCTCTGACCGCTGTTGAGCCTACAAGCTGGATGAAAACACGTTTCTTGTCCTTTTCTTGAAGTCACTTTTATAAAACAAGGCCAAACAAGAAAGAACTGGCCCCAAGACCGGTCGACAGTGAATCTTTATGCATTATCTAGAAACAGAGGTGAAGCTATCTATTACAAGTGCTGTGGTTATGACTGAGGGGCAGGACGACAAAATAAAGAAGGGGTGAATGAGGAGGAAATGGGGAGTAGATCAGGAGGAAATAATGACGAATGGGGCAGGAGATAGGGAGGAAACAGGGAGAAGATGGGGAGGAAATGAGAAAAATATGAGGAGAGGGGGAGAAAATGTGGAAGAGATGGAGAGGAAATGGGGAGGAAATGGGGGTGTGTGTAAATATTGAGGAAATGGTAGGCGATAGGGGAGATCTGGAAACTGGGAGGAAATAGGAAGGATATGAGGAGGAGATGGGGAGGGCATAAGGAGGAAATGGGCAGGAAATGAGGAAAATGGGGAGAAAACAAGGAATAAATGGGGAAATTGGGAATAGATGTGGAGGAAAGGGGAATAATATGAATTGGAGATGTGCAGGAAATGGGAAGGATATGAGTTGGAGATGTGGAGTAAATGGGGGGTGTGAGTTGGAGATGTGGGGGAAATGGGGGGAATTAGTTGGAAATGTGGAGGAAAGGGGGAGGATATGAGTTGGAGATGTGGAGGAAAGGGGGAGATGGGGATGGCAATCAAAGTTACTGCTGCTATGCACACAGAAGACAAAATGATGTAGGGGTGACATATCTGAACCTATTGTTACACAAACCTTCATATGAGAGAACCTACCGGAATCTGCACACAATCCAGATATCAGTATGTGACATAGTGAGAAGAGCTCCCATAATCCCAGAAGTAGTTAAGGTGCTTCTGGAACTGCAAGGGGACACCTCTTACTACGAATCCAGCCAAACGAGTGGGAGGCCGCCTGTCTCCATAGCTACGCTGGAAAAGCTGTGCTGGATCCTAGCAGAGGACCTAAAACAGTACCATGGTCACCTGTTTGATCACAATGAATCACAATGGGAACCAGATCAAAAATAAGCCTACTTAAATTGAAGAGCAAGATGCTTCAGAACCATAATTCTGAGAGACAGATATATGAGGCCTCTCATGTCGGTTGAGAAGGAAGAGCAATAGGAAGGTCATACAATCCATTTCTTTTGATGCCAGGTAGGTTCTTTGCACCCTAGTGGCAGATATTCAAAGTATTCTCAACTCATCTTGCAGCATTGATCCTAAATAAAAACCAAAAATGTTTAATCCAAAGCCCTTCAGGGAGGTGTGACATCCATGAAGCTGTGAGGAATCAGCTGCTGTGATTGGCTGATCTCCGTGGTTCTTTACTTAAGTGACCAAACCTGCTGTCAATCTGCAGGTCAGTTCAGAACAGGGTGGGAGGGGGGACACCCTTCAGTTTGTTCAGTAGTGCTGTTGGCGGTAAAGCATTCCTACACAGACCGGGAGTGGCGGGCAGGAGAGTCGTTAAGATTGTGCAAATGTATCTTTTAAATTACTAAGAAAACATATAGTGGGTGGATGTAAGAGACAATCAGGGGTCCTTCTACACAAAGACTGTAAACATTTTCGTGGGATTCCTATATCGCGCTCCGCAGTGCTACTCAATCGAGCATCCTACAGGCCGACGCCAGCTTTGGTTCTTTGGCAGAAGTGGTTCCTTTAGGTCAACGAGAGCGAACGAAACGCAGGGGCCGAGTCAAACCGTTGCTTCCTCGTGTTTGCGTTTCACGGTCCGTTGCGTCTCTCGAGCTCCCGTTGCTTAGCTGATGCTGAGCTGAGCGAAGCCCATGAGTTTCACATCGTCGGGAATTTCGGAGCCTTCCACGCCCGAGGCCTAGAAAGACCAGATACACATTTAACAGAGCTGTCTTCTGGGGAGGACAGCAATGAGGGGTCAGACGAGGAAGGCGTCGGGACATGAAACACCATCAGGCGCCTTACCAGCTTGAAAGTCACATTTCTGTTAGTTTGAGGCTCGTCAACAATTTTCTGCAAATTGGCAGCAACTGAAACAAGAAGACGGTGGTCCATGAAAACGTATATCTATAACAAACCTGACAGTATATCCTATAGCTGTTCTGTAAGAGTCCTATTACAAACACTAAAAGCGACATTCTGCCGGTTACTCAATCGCACAGGCACTTTTTAAATCATTCCCAGCCAGAGTTAGCTGAGAGCCGCCAGCCGGGGTCGCTGAGGTCTGTGTTGTGGGATTCGGTTACATGGCCGTCAGACAGGGCTGTTGTCTCGCTCACCAATCACTAAGTCCCGTCCATCTACCAGGCCAGCGGACACCAGCTCCTGGGAGACCCCGTCGGCCGTGTCTGTGAAGGGCACAGGGCAAACATTCAGGAACTGTCACAGAGAGAACATGCAGAGCTGCCAGACAGGTTCACAGTCAGGTCTGTAAACGCATATGGGAGCTGGCTACGAGGTTAAGTTACCCGAGTAACTCGGGCTCTTAGACGCCTTGCATGACCTTAGAGTTTTCACTTTCCTCTAAACTGGATTGGAGGGCTCAGAAGATTAATGGGGCAGGAGGGGGAAGCAGACCTGCTGGGCCGGTGTCCACAAGAGGGCGCTCAGAGATAGCTCACCACATGTCACCAATAAAAAAGAAAAACCAAAATCAGCCTACCTCTTCCAGGCATGAATTCAAATCGTATATCATTCAGCTCCTTTTTTAAATTCCTGCAAGAAAGGAGGAAATGAAAAAACATGATTCATGTGTGACAGAGGAAGCAGTTCACTGTACCTTGAGATTACCAAATTAAATTTATGTGAAACTGTCCCAACATATACTTATACGGGTTTTCATCCATTTAAAAAATGATAGTACATTTTTAGAATTACAGTTTAACAAAACATCTGTACCATTAATTCACAACACAAAATTTTACAGTGAACTGATAGCACATTTCCTTGAATGGGAACTAAACTTTTTCCTCTAGGCCAGTCTAGGGCAACGCAGTTGACCTCCAGGGTACCTGGAATACAACAATCTAAAAGACCAGCTTGAGTAGTGCTGCCCTCTGGTGGTTACTGCAGGTACTGGATACCAGGCAAAGAGGGTCTGGATTTTCATTAGTCATGCCAATCACCATCGTTTAATTTCCACAAATTTATCAAATAAGGATGTACCACTGGGCCAAATTAAACTTTGCTGTCATATTAATGGGGCACAGTAATTAAGCAGCTGAAAGATTCAATTACGATTGTCCTCAGTGAGTCACATCATTCAGAGGTAATTACAGACACAAAGTGGCGAGGCTATAACGCCGTTTGCTGTAACCTGAGTACTGAAGGTTAAGGAAATAAACACACAGAGAGCGCCGGTTCACCGCGTGTATGTTTATGGGATCCCAAGACCAATTTAGCCAGGAAGAAAAGACGTTGGCTTTAAAAAGACTATAAAAGACCGTGACCATAAACAAGACAAACGGGCAGTTAAAGACAGGATAGGAGCGGTGAGAGAGACAGGTGGACCTGAGTCAGCGGTACAGGGGTAATGCGACCCCCCTACCCACGGCAGGGGCAGAAACACACTCACCTCAACCTCAGTACCAAGCTAATGGGTGATTTGGGGCCCTCGGACATGAGGGCTGCTGCCGCCACCTGGAGGGGGGAGGCATGGGACATGGGTAGGGCAGAGATACCATAGACAAAGACTTCATGGTCAGACCCATTAATGACCATGTTAGAACGAGCATGGTGCTAGGAGATGATGATGATGATAATAATAATAATAATAATAATAATAATAATAACGACACTTTATTGACCCCCATGGGAAACTTCTTTTCACATCTCCCCCAACTTGCTTTCTGTAGGAAAATCATTTCCCCACTCTCTGACCGTCCCATTCTGAGACAGGACATCAGTGAACGTCTGACCCTCGTGCAGCACGTCTCCGGGTTCCGGCTCTGGGTTAGACCTGGCATGGAAGGCCCAGAATAACAGGCTAATGGATGTTTTTTTTTAAATAACCATCCATCCATTCACTTATGCTCACTTATGCCCCCCCCCTCCCCCCCCGAGCACTTCTGAACAGGGTTAGGTGGCGCTCTCCCCATCCTGTCCAAGAGAGATCAGGGCATCTCAAACTCCGACTGTAAAGAATCATTGCCTCTTATTGGAGATAGGGGCCACCTTTACCTGCAGGGGGTGCTTTTGGGGGGGCATGTCCCCAGTGATCACAGAGCACTGCCTAAACTACACTGGGTATTGAGACAAAGCAGCTGTGGATAGACTCTCCCCTGTGTAACTGATCATATTGCTAAATTATAGGAATAATCTCCTGCACCTCCCCCCTTTTTTTAACGTGCTTTTGAAATGTGAGGTTGTAAGGGGGGGAGGCTTCTTTTCAAATCAAAAACTATTCCAGATGTGAACATCCCCGACCTGTTGGGGGTCCCATACCTGTGCGGGTGGGATGGGAGCAGGCTGGCCTTGCACAGGCCCCAAAGCCTGGACAGCGAGTGGTGCGTTGGCTGGGGGAGGCTGGCAGGGAGGCTGGCAGGGAGGCTGGCAGGGAGGCTGGCCAGCAGGCTGAGGTAGCTGAACCTGGCCTGGTGCGGAAGGCTGCAGATGACAGCTTAAAGGCTCTGGCTGGTAAATCTGACAGCAAAAAACAAACAAAAATTAAGTTCTTTTGCAGAATTAATATCTTATGATCAGGTTATTTAAATAGTTATGCAATTACTAAGCAAGGAGGATGGTTAGATTTCAGACACGCAATCGACAGGTAGGAATGTGACACGTGGCAGGGACCCACCTCTGAATTTTGGGAACCTTCCTTCACCCTGGGTGACTGGAAAAACAAAGAGACAAAGAGTGTAAACGTTGGCTCGGAGGACACCGTTTTTTTTATTTTTCCTCTCAGGGAGAGGCTGTGGATCCTCCTCACCCCAAGGCAAGAGCGGGCAAGAAACAGGCCGCCATTGGCGCGTGGGAGACGTGGAAGGTCACAGAGGACAGGCACTGCCTTCCTGTCACCTCAGAGGTGAGCCTGCCCTGCCCTCCGCGCAGGTGACATAAACAAATGCCGACACAGGCACAGACACACCGTTCCGAGCAGTTGATGTTTTAGCATTCTATACCACACAGTCATCATATTAATAGAGCACTTCGGTAATCCACCTATTAATTATCACGGGAGACTGGCAGTTTATTTATAAAGTGCTCGTTTACTGTGCATCAGTTTGAGAAATTGAATACGCATTCCAGAAAACACCCCAGCTACTCGTCTGTTTCATAATCAGAATCTCATCGCTTGCCAGCTAACCTGATTATCTAAGTAACAGAACAACTTCAGTCATTCAAAATGCACAAATCAAAGTGTAAATGAACTCCACTCAATTTCACCATCTGAGGCAAATTTCTTAACTCGATGTCAGAGCCCCCTTTGGCTGCTGAATCCCAAACCCCCCCTCCCCCCAAAGTCAGTGTGCCTGGCTTGTTTTTCTCACCTGGGCACTAACGGACTCTGAAACTCATCCCTCAGTCACCTCTCTGCACCCCCCCCCCCAATGATCACCTGATCACACCAGTGAGCCCAAAGGGGGCGCCACTGGTACTAAAACGAGTCCCCACCTTCTGCTCCGCCTCTGCTCCATCTGACCATAAAAGCATTTAGCGCGACGTCTGAAATTCCAACACAATGAACTGGTCAAGGAGCAGCTCGTAATTCAGAGGCATCTATAAAAACAGCCCACAGCAAAAGCCCAGCGAAGTACAGCCCCCCCCCAGGTGACCAGAACATTGTACTGCTACAGTGATGCTCTTTATGGATAGGATCACAGTATCCATGGCAGCCTAACTGCAGCAGCTTAATTATAAATAAGGAATAACCCCGTGTCATAAGGAAAGCAGTAGGCCAGGAAAATATACTGGAAGCCTCCCCCTATAAATCTGTCAGTGTGTTTTTAACAAGGTTATAAAGTGCACCGCTGCAGGCCAGGGCTATAAGGCATGATAAAAGAAGACTGACATTTGACCTGTGTCATGTGACCTGTGCCACATGACCTGCGACCTGATCCACTCACCCTCATCGCCGCCACGGCGGCCTTGCCCTCTTCACTTTCCACATCCAGCTCGTCGTCACTCCACTCCCACTCGCCGTCCTCGGTCTTGTGCAGCCGGCCACTGGAGCCGGGCACACGCCGTACCTGGACCAGGCGCGGGAAATGCAGCGGCACGCGGCAAACGCGGGGAATAAAAGACACTAAGCAAAACAACGACAGAAGTACTTTGACCAAATAAATAAATAAATACAAGTTCCATTAAAAACAAAAGTGATGCTTTACTTTACATTTTGACTAAAATCACATTCCGTCTCTGTTTTTGTGCAACACCCTCCTTTACCCATACAGTAAGTGCAGAAGCCTGGCTTGCAAAAAGGGGTCCTGATCTGTGAAACAGCTAAGTGTGACACAGAATAGTCTGCACTTACTGGTGGTTATCGACCTTACATCTGCATTTTGAGCACTCCTCCACTGTTACCATCTACATTTAATACTCAGGGACCCATCTGAGAAAACACCCTACTGTTCGTGGGGTGTGAACCAACAACCTTCTGATGACAGGCACAGAAGCCTAACCCCCTGAATCAAACACCACCCCCAGTTACTAGCAAAGATCTTTATAAAGACCCACCTTTTTGGACCTCTCTATAATCGTGGGGGCCCTCTGAAGCAGCCTGTCCTGTAAATATTCGTTGTTCTGCAGAAAAAAAAAAAAAAAACACTGCATCTAGCACCCGGCACTCTGATGATGTCACAGGGGCAGGGAGCCATCAATTGGCTGTGACACTGCGCTTTGAATCCTGTGAAACACCACGGCACGCAGCAACTATTCAAAACATTTTGACACATTATAATGTAACAGCGATGCCTCGTGAGATATCATCCATGATAGTCTAATCCTAGTTCTCAGTCAAGCACACACATATATATAGAAATCTGACAGATAGTATTTTTTCGTGAAATCATTTAACAGGGATAAGGAGCTGCCGCCAGGCCTGCCTTTGTGGGGAGTGGCGAACAAGTCGGGCGATTTGGGACCTTGTGCTCCCGGGGGAAGCAAGGACTACTGATCGCTAAGCCAGCTTTTTGGCCATTGAGGTACAGATCACATCCCAGGCCGGGGGGGCACTAGCTAATCCCCCTTTTTGTCAAACTGTGAATCGCTCCAAAACCTATGCTCTCCCCTACACAGCAGACCCCATGCTGAGGCATGCCAGAGTCGGGCCAGGGGGGCGGCCCACCTGAGCAGGACCCTCTCACCTTTGCTTTTGTGAAGAATTTGTGCTTCAGCAGCTCTGCTGCCGTCGGTCTGAAAGAGCAGAGGAAGGAACGTTAGTATTCAGGCTAAAGACGTCAAACCATAACCAAAGAGGAGGCCGGGCTGATATATCACTATATACCCCAGTGTCCCACAGAGCTGTTAGCATTTAGGCTAAAGTCGTCAAACCATAACCAAACAGGAGGCCGGGCTGATATATCACTATATACCCCAGTGTCCCACAGAGCTGTTAGCATTCAGGCTAAAGACGTCAAACCGCAACCAAATAGGAGGCCGTGCTGATGTATCACTATATACCCCAGTGTGCCACAGAGCTGTTAGCATTCAGGCTAAAGACGTCAAACCACAACCAAATAGGAGGCCGTGCTGATGTATCACTATATACCCCAGTGTGCCACAGCTCTGCTTCCCTGTCGCCATCCTACACCTTATCCAAACAGAGAGTTTACTGCAGTTTCACAGTTTAACTTCTTCCTGTACTAAATAAAATGTTAAGGGACACGGGCCTTAATTTATGGCTGGAGTTTGCTCTTCAGAGCAGGCTGAAGTGGTTAGCACAACCTGACCGCTTTCAGGTCATATTTGGTCAGATTACCTCTCCCAAACAGGGCCATAAACAATGGAGGAGGCTGCATCTGCAGGCCTGCCTGACGCCGGAGCAGGCCGCTTGGTCCTCACTGTGAAAGGGTCTCCTGCTCATAAAAGCAGGGGGTGTCAAGAGGCAAAGGGAATTTCCTGTAGGTCAGGAGCTAACCCCAGGTTCCAGGTAGGACCTTATATTCTGGGTAAGGAAGCACTGTGAAAGAACGTTTCAACCTACTGGGGTCGTACCACGCTGCATGACCACAACTTTGGTGGAGTGTTTAGGATGAGTCGGTGTGTGTTTGCAGCTTTACTCACCTTTTCTCCGGGTCCTTTTGCAGGCACAGAGAGTTCATTTTCCTGAAGGACTTGCCGTACTTCTTCACCATCTCCTTGTCCGTGACGCCAGTCTCAAGCGTGGGGGGGTCGTTCTGCAGGGTCAGCATCAGTACCTGGAAAGACCCGGAACAAAATGTGTCACATGTTCACTCCAGCCCTCCAGCAGCGGTGATGCGCTTTTATTCGCCCCTGTGAGATGGTGCCAAACAATACTGCCCTGTCAAAAATCCACGTTGGATTTGGGGGCCAAGTTTCACAAGTGTTGCGCTACCCGTGGTGACACTTATTACTCTTTACTGAATCCTTTCAACAAGCTAATGCAGGCAGCCATGAACAGCTACAACCAGAGAGCAAAAAAACCTACACGTCAGGAAATATGACAAGAAAGGTGACATCCTGACAATTAGCCCACAGGAAGCCACCTCTGACTGAAAATAATTCAACCCGGCGCCTATCAGCTTCTGAGACAGATAGGAACCCCAGTGCAGATGTAAAAGCCTTGTTGTTGGTATTATCACTGGAAAAGCGACATTGTTCTCATATTACATCCATTGGAGCTTAGAAAGGCTCGACGGGAAGGCCCATGATTTATTATCCGAATCCTATCGGTTACGGGAGCCGACCACATGCCGAATTTAACTTCCCAACCTGCAAATATCGAGTGCACACTCCCCAAGCGAGAGCAAGGAGGAGAAAATGAGCAGCCTAAGCCGTGAAAATGATCCCGCAGCTTCATTTTTAACATATAAAGGCTGGCGACACGTGCAAGAGGCAAAACATGTCACTCACCGCACTGGGAAATGTGTCGGTAACAGCCCTTTGATGTTCTACCTTAAATGCTCTCAGCAAGAAGCAGCACAGAATCACAGTCTGTGCCAATTTAGCTTTAAAGTTATCCTAGAATAATTCACCCTGAAAAGCTGGAGGGGGTCGATTTATAACGGGCTACAAGACGTAACTGTGTGAATTTAAGGATCGACTGAGCCCCACTGCGGGAAACCCAAAATCCATCTCCTCGCTGGAAAACTGGAAAACCAAAATCCAGATCCTATGAATCTATCCGCAGCCCTGAAAAGCACAGATATTCCTGGCCTTCTCGCTTTTTGGCAAATGGCAGAGATTTAAAAAAAATGACAAAGAATAAATAAATACATTTATATTTATATTTTTAATTTATTTTACTTATTTTTTAAATATATATTATTTTCCATCCAATTTCTTCTGCTGCAAGCTTGCTTCCTTTGCATTTCATGTGCTCCATCAGCAGGGGGCAGTAATGAGCATTGCCACATGGTTCTCCCATCAAACTTCACATTCTTATTGTCACTAAACAGTTTTATGTGTCCATCGAACCTCCGTAGCCATTGATCTACTGCAGACTAACAGTGACCCAAGAGCATATTCAGGGCAGCACAGGACATAAGGCAGGGACACCCTGGATGGGACGCCAGCCCACCACAGGCACTTACATCTAGAAATACCAGCTCACCTAACTGCAGATTTTGGGAGAAAACCCACACAAACAACAATAGAACATGTAAAAGCCCACACACGCAGGGTGGGATTTGAACCCACATCCCTGCGGCTGTGAGACCACAGTGCTACATGCCCAGTTAAACCCATTTACATTCATTTGTTGAATGACAAGGTGGTGTTTTCCCAACCTTCATGGGAGGGTATTTGTGGTAGGGGGCAGCCCCTGTCGCCAACTCGATGGCCGTGATCCCAAAACTCCAAATGTCGGCCTTGAAGTCATAACCACGAACCTGCAAGGACAAAGAGACACAGTGAGACATCCCCTGGCCCCTTTTCCTGATGGGGGGGGCACCTATTTTTGAGTAATTATCATGAAAGATCATAAATAATTAGGGATAATAATATTAATTAGTGCACCAAAATAAACATTCTTTAAAAAAATATTACATTTTATCTTTTATTTATTTAATAGATGTTTGGCACCACTTTACAATAAGGCTTCCCCATATAAAGGGTTTAATGAATGGTTTATAATTGGATTAATGATTAGGTTGTAACACTTTGTAAATTATTCATAGACAATTTTAAACAGTTATAACACAGTTTGCTTATTAATGAGTTACTTTTTACTAATGAGTTGCCATTTACGAGTGGCAAAAGGGAACCTTATTGTAAAGTGGTACTAGATGTTCTATCCCAAGCGACAAACTTTTTTTTTTTTTTTAGAAAGCATGGCACTGGAGCAAGTCGGGTTTAAGGGCCTTGTTCAGGAGCCCATCAGTGAAATCACTTCACTGACCTTGGGATTCGAACCAGACACCTCCCAATCACAGGTGCAAAACTGCCGAGCCCAACAATACGGCCAAATCATCCTCAATATGCCCACAGCAGCCGAGTATGGTAATGTTAGTGTCACATCGGTAATAGCGACGCCAAAGTTTGGACATAAGGTGCTCACTTCTGAGAAGCGAGCTTAAGGGATTACTCAGTGGTGCTTAACCACGTCTCTCCGGCGCCCATAAACGCCTACGCCTCAGACTGTCCGCTAATCACAGCGAGCCAGGCTGCAAATGGCTTAACAGGGGCTGAGAGACTGCTGCTTTAGTGAGAAGACTACACCAAACGGTACAGCTCATCGCAAGGGTCCGATTCTCCACCAGGACCCGACGACCACCTGGCGCACTGGGACTCTCCACATGTCCCCTACGGCTGGCCAAATGCTCTCCAAATACTCAGAGAGCCAAGAAGGGCAACAGATTCTTAGAAAAGCTTCTCTGATGTAAGCGTGGCTAATGATCTGCATGAGTGAGAATGGAGGAGTGCGCCAACAGCCAAGGGAGGGTGTTGGCTGGTAACAGCCAGGAGTCAACTTTACATCCAACCAGTTTCCTCTGATCAAAGCTGGACGATGAGGGCATACACTTTTTGCACTAATGATTTTCACCAAATTCCTGATGTAGAGACAAAGACACACACAAGCTTAACATGTTTTAGAAGACAGTGAGGGTTAGCCAATCCCTGGGAAAATTGAGGTTATTGGCCTTGCTCAGGGGTGAAATCACCGGATTTGAACTGAGGACCTTTAAATGACAGGAACAGCGTCCTAACCCACTTAGCCGCACACGGTATTTTAATGCCCTGCAATGCCCATGTGACCTCATGGAGACTGAGTGACCAACCTGCTCCATCACTTCGGGGGCCATCCAGCATGGGGTCCCCACAAACGTCTTCCGAACCTTGTTCCTGGTGATGTCGCCCCCCGTGGCGAGAAAGGCACTGACGCCAAAATCTGTGAGGGAGAAGCACAGACACACAGATCTTCAGGTCACCCCTTCGGGAAGAAGTAACCATCTTCACAAGCTACCTTAACATGGACAGAGTGGATTTTCTCGGTTAGCTGGTGGCTAGTGCAAGACGGACCTGATTTCCTAGATCAGCGTGACATGGACAGAACTGATGTCTTAGGTTTAATCATCACGGACACAGAGAATGGTCTGGGCTAGCTGAAAATGGACAGAATTGATTTCCTAGGTCAGCACGACATGGACAGACATTGATACCTTGGGGCCCAATTATGCATCAGATATTGACAAAGAGGAGGAGAGCCTGTCGGGCTGAAAAGGCTGCAGAGTGCCACCAGCAGGCGTCTCAGTAACAATCAGCAGCTCCAGAGGCGCTATTAAAGTCAGAGAGCCTCCTTTCATGCTTTTAATTAAAATATCAGATTCACAGCGGACTTCTTGAAGGACGTGGGGCAGAGATACAGAATAAACCTACGGAACTGCTGAGCAGAAAGCGTTCTGCTCAATAGGCAGGGACACCAGAGGACAGTCACATCCACAAATTTCCAACAGACACGCACAATGAGTGGAGAGTCACTTCAGGGGCAAACGGAGCCGGCCACCACCACCACTGTGGGTATCGGTCAATGGTGTTTCAGAATGGCTGACTGAAATGCCGTCTCCTGGTCAACCTCTGGGGCTGACGGGAGGTGCTGGTTTACGGAGGATTTTAGAGCCCTGGAGCCAACTTGCGTAGGATGTTGGGTGGGAATCCGGGAGATGAGGGGCAGGAGGGAGCCTCAAAATTGCAGCCAGCTGTGGCGGTGAAATGTATTTGCACAGAGCCAAGAGCTCCAAGGCATGCATAAGCAGATACTAAAACCATAACGTAAAACACAGAGCCAGGCAGAATGTTCGGTTTTACACATACTCAGGCGTTCAGAGTCTGCTCTCTGTACGCCGCGGGAATGACCTGCAGTCCTGCAACTAACAAAGGTGAATTGCTCATCGAGTGCTGTTATGCACGGATCAGGAGGATGCTGATTGGACAAAGCACGATTCCAGCAGGTGCTGATTGGCCGATACCTATGATCCATGCTGGGTCTGATTGGACTATGTGCTGAGATGAGAGAACTTCCCCTAGAGATGGCTGCGTCTTACAGTGAAGGACGTGTCAGTGTTAATCAGAGCTCAAACAAGTAGAGAGACCCAATATAACTGAAAAGCATGGAAGATTCATATCAGCAAGTATGGAGTGGTACAGCTAAATGCCCATGTTTAGATAAATGTTTGAGCAGCTTTCTAAATAAAACTTACACCCGCCATGCAAACCCAACAGTACATATGGTGCATGTTTATATAATTCAGATGTTGATTAGAAGAATGGACCTCATTAAAAACAGACCTCAGTTCTTACCACTGCTCACATGCTACTTTAAGTTAAGTATTAAAGCCCTGAATGGCTTACAAAAACCAGGTCAATCCAAAAACAAAACCGATCGCTCCAGCAGAGCCGGAAATGTTTGCCAAGTGGATCGTGTCCTCTGTTCATCCCAGGAATGCACCAACATGCTGAACGTCACTGGAAAATTCCCCACCCAGCAACACAGGGGCCACCCGGCAGAAATGCAAACAGGCTGGAATGGTGGGGGCTTGTTTGAGGGTCTGAACAGCCTCGAATTCTCACAAAATCACAAACACTTCCATCTATCATGTGTTTCTGCTTATGTGAGCAGAGCCATAAAAATCCCATAAAGCAGACATGGACGTATTTTGTTATCCATTACCTTACATTCATCCAATATAAAACAAGGTCAGAGAAGTAGATTAAGTTCCCAAAACTGAGAAATCTCAGCAAAATGGTAAATATAAAAATCAAGATCCTCAGGTGGTGCATTGTATCTGAGAAAATGGCCGGAAAACTCCGGAACACGGTCTGACGCAAATGGGACAGTCAGTGTATCTGTAGTTCCTTCAGTTCTCAACCATTATCTACTGAGAGAAGATCAGGCTTTCCGAGGGATGTGCAGTTCAATGGGAAAAACCGACTGGAAAAAGGGTAACTAAACAAGCAAGGAAAAAAAAAAAAAAAAAAACAAGAGTGTGAAAGTCAACATTATATATTTTACTTATTGTAAAAGTCAATAGTGACACAGCTATCAGACGACCTTCAGCAGAATGTCAGCTGTGACCTGCAGTCACACACATTACTGCTTTGAGGCGGGGAACGGAATGGTTTGAGGGTTCAAGATTCTAAAGTGCTGTGTTGCGAACTCAAGGTTACAGTTGTGGAGGAATAGGATTGTGCAGCATGGGCTCAGGATGCCGGGACTTTCATGGGAATGGCAGACTACCAGCACAAGACCAGCCCATGTAGGGAAAGCAGCTGGTGAGACGTCTGGAAATACCAGTGCAAAGCGGACTGAGGGACAGCAGCGCCCTGAGACCAGCTTTCCAGGAGCAGAACATCAAGCTCCACCATCTCTGCCATCAAAGAACTTCTGCAATATGGGCTCACCACTCAAATGCCTTTGTGGCTCCTTTACTACACAGACCAAGTACAGAAGTCCCCAGGTTAAGAACTTATGAACAACTCATAAATACGGATGAACTGCCATTAGTCTAATATATAAAAAAAATCAGGTTAAATTCAATGGTTCCTATTAACGAAACGCACACACTGTGCAGTTTGTCGGCTTGAGGTACAATGCAGCGCTGCATTTGGTTAGATTTATTATTACTGTATAATCATTACCATGTACTGTATTGTTGTTCTGACATACCTATAAATTCAACTAAAAAACAGACTTACGGAACAAACCTCGTTTGTAACCTGGGGACGGGCTGTACTTGAATAGATAAATACCCATGATGGGAAGCTTTTTGATATCTAAAAGGTAATGAAATGCAGCCCTATCCCTAACCCTAATCCCAGCTAACCTAAACCCTACATGGACCTTAACCCTGATAGAAAGAAAATTAGTGTTCTAAACTATTAACTGTCATGCTGGGAAGTGTACATTAATTGTGTTGTATATATCTGCGCATTTGACTTAACGCTAACAGCAGATCAGAACAGCTGGCATGGCTGGAACCGCTGGAACCGCTGGAACCGCTGGAACCCCCCCGTTCGTAGGCAGCTACGTGACCTGACACATGCAGAGCGCATGCCCCCCAACACTGGCGCACACACGCACGCACGCACACATGCTCACACACTCCACCCATCCCCCCGAACAAATTACCTGCAATTTGCACAGATCCGTCCTCACCCAGCAGAATGTTCCCAGCCTTCACGTCCCTGTCAGGATAAAAACCACAAGCCTGCATTAGTGTCATGCCCAAGCGGTGCTGAAAGATGCCGATAGCTGCTCCGGGAAACTCAGCCCTACAAGAAGAGCGGGAAGGGAGGGAGGGAGGGAAAGCGGCACGTTAACAAGCTGCTCGACCGCTAGCTGAGGACTGCAAGCACTCAGCGAACCCCAGACACCATCCCCAACTCTGCTGTGAGCCCTCCAGGAGACACAGGATAAAAACCCAGCTCCATAAAAGAAGCTACAAAGACACATTCCAGAAGACCAACCGTGACCTTAACCCCTATCCCAAACCCTAACTTTAATGCCAGCCCTATCCTAACTCTAATATTAACTCCAGTTTGATCCTAATCTTAACCTAAATCTCATCTTAATCCTAACTCTAATCCTAATTCCAACCCCATCCTAAACCTAACTTGACCTTAACTCTAGCTTGATCCAAATCTTACCCTAAATCTTAGCTCGATCCTTACCCTAACCCAAACCCCAGCTGAATCCTACCACTAATCCTAACCCCAACTTGACCCTAAGCTTAACTGCAGCTTGAACAGCATCTGAAAACCCGAATGACGTCATTGTGCCTAAAAGAGCAACGTAAGGAAGCCTTGCACTGGTCCAACACAGAGATACACAGTCAATCTGATGTGGCTGAAAGGGTGTCAGATGCTTTTCACCTTTAGTCTGGGTTTCAGCTTGACAAGCGGAACTTGTTACTCTGAAAATGGGGAGTGTGGCGAGATAACAAGCTTTGCATTGGGGTGATCGTCAGACGCCAAGCGGTACGGCTGGCATCGTCCTGTTATCGGCACAGCTGGTGAAAAGCGAGGAAGAGTCTGAAGATGAGGAATCAAGAGCAGAGCCCAGCCACTGGCAATGAAGAGACCATGGGGGGTGGGGGTCCATGCCTTCCAGCCCTCTGGCACCAAAGGTGGATGGACCGGGTACGTATCCGGACCGCAGGGCACAGTGGGGGGATACCGTCAAGCTCTCTCTTTCTCTCTCTCTCTCTCTCTCTCTCTCTCTCTCTCTCTCTCGGCAGAGCCAAACAGAGCAAGCCATTGTTCCCCTGTCGGGTGTCTGATTTCCGCGCGCGGGGTGGGTGGCACCACAGGAAGCCCGTTGTACCGGCAGCCCACAGGACTGCCACTCGCCATTCTCAACTAGATAAACAAAAAACCCCACCTGTATCGTCAGCACGAAAAGCATTGTGCTCCACTAAACGGATCTGAATAACAAACACAGCACTAAAGACCCCATACGGTGGGCTGGCATCTTAACAGCAGCCTTACCCTCAATATACTTGTTTGAATTATCTGTCACATTTTTTTTTTTTCTTCATATTTCGACATCGCGAGGTCTTATGAATTGGAGTAATTCATGTCCGGGAACACAGCTGGACAGGGGAACCTTCAGATCTGTGATGCGACGCTGTTCTTTGATCAACAAGTTCTTTCAAAATCGAGCCAGAGCCCAGCGGCTGGGACATCGAGGAGCCGCCAATGGCCTGACGGGAAACATCTGTCTTGACGACCTACAACCAGCTTCCCTGACACAGAGCACAGGCCGAACTGATGTAGATGAAATAATTCAGGCTCCAGGGACATAACGGCCAATTGGAATGAGTCTCGCCATCTTCCAGTAACAAAAAAAGCGATCAGCTGATAGGGAAGGATGCCTGGGCCTTCCTCAGCAGGTCTGTTGAAAGCACAGCTTTGATGTTCCTCTTCAAAACTTTCATGCATCAGTAAAAATCTCTTATTCTGCAGAACTCCACCAGACATTTAGTCACTTCTGTGTTTGTCCACAGGGAGGTGCCAGAATCACAGTCAATAAATAAATGTAAACTGAACAAAAATGCCGGTACAACCATTAATTAACTCATTAATTAATCCCAAATGTGGGAGACCTAGCTGCATATGGGTGTATGAGTGTAAAACACATCACAAAGCTCAGGAACTAAGCAGGAGTGATAATAGGGTTTATGTCTCAGGTTTAATCAGATTTAAATGAACCTCCGTATGTGCTGATAGCTTCTGATAGATGTCTTGCAAACCCTTTAAGAAAACAAACAAGCAAATAAAGCAGTCAATGAGGCAGCAGACCATGCCAGGCTCAAAGGAAGAGCTCAGTCAGCCTCCACACGGGCTGCTGCACACAAATGCTGATGTTGGAAGCTGGGGGCAGAGACGGACAATTCAGGGCAGCTCAGGCCAGCTCAGGCCTGGAGTGTTCTTATACCCCGACCCACACCACACACCCAAGTGCCCAATTCCATGACCCATTTGTTTTCGTCAAACACGTCTGCTGCCCCATTCCTATAATAAAACCCACAGTCCTTCCTCCAGCAGTAAGCTTCACACGCATGCTGTCCCATCACCAGCTTGAAGATGCTGACCGGATCTGACAGAGCGGGCTCACACCGGGGGGTCACCCACGGTCACGCCAGCGTAGGGGGGGCCGCATCTGGAGAATGATGGCGAAGCCATGCGTCTCTCTGACAGCCTGTGACAGTCTAGCAGGGCCCAGCAGCATCATGAGACTGCATGTCAGACAAACGCCGTCCCACCATCAGGGACAATGGTGCCAGTTCCCCCAAGGAGAGATCAACCCACAAAGCACATCAGCCTGAAGATAATGCATCATTCGATCCTAACTCCCTGCTAATGTGGTCTTAATCCACCCTAGAATGCAAGAGTAGGAGTGCCATGTTTCAGTTTCCTGTTGTTTTGCATGTGATCAGAACCTAAATATCACCCCTTCTCATTCTGCCATGTTACAGATCATCCCCATAACACACCATGTAGCCCCGTCTGACCTTTTGACAAAACCACCTCTCAGCCCCCGACACCTGAGAAGTGGCGTTAAGCGGACATGGAAAATCGCAGGAAAATGATCGAATGTCGCTTGGATATATCCTACCACAGAGTTGCTAATACGCCAACCGCCTCCATGGCCTTTCACTCAAACCCAGGATGGGCCTCTCTGCCCAACATTGCAACATTGCCACCATATGATCCCCACAGTTCTTTTCCAAGGCCTTCGGGGGCAGCCAACATCCTGGAGGGACTCTCTGACCATTTGACTGGCTGTCAGCACTTTGCTATGAAGGTACATGGCACATATTGACTCTTATTTAGAATGAGCTAGACAAAGGGCACTTTTCCACTGCACCAGGTACCATACTTCTGGTACTTCAAAAAAAAGTACGGTTCTTCAAGATGTTGGTTTTCCACTGGCGTAAAATCTGGTACCACTGCTGAATGACATCACAATGCGAGACGGGGTATTATATTGCATTACATTATAGGGCTGGATGGTATGCAATATTAATATCGACACTGCAAGTTGTGCACATGAAATTCTCACAACGAAAGGACTGCGACAGTCAGCTGGGTTGAGATCAGGCTTTTTCATATCTCCTTTTTTTACAGATATTATAGCACAGGGGGGTTAAATTTTCACTAAAACATTTTTCCTTTGTAACAGGAAGCAAAACTTAGCAAACAATGCAATTTTAATGATTGTTCCTTTTAAAGATTATGCAGGATATGTTATGCAGGATAAGTTTTAAGTTTACCGCCACTAATGTTGCATAAGTCCGGCATGCACTTTCTGAAGGTTTTCATCTAAAGTAAGGAAGCCAACACCCCTTAGTTCCAAGGGTTCTTCACAGCAGATACCCAGCATCATGCTTTTCCTAATCACCACCACCATCCTGGAAGCACCACCACCATCCTGGAATAGCCACCCTACCACCAATCATACTCAAGTGTTTCAATACAGACAATAAACCCACTTCACATCAACGGGTCTGCCATCCCATAATTCCAGAGGCGCCACTTCTTCGTTGATGGGAGCCTTGATAATGGAGAACCTGTGAGTCCTACTGCTTTCTGTCTCAGCTTACAAATATAAGAGAAGCCATAATTCCAGGCTTTGATGAGGTCACCTTCCTGGCCTTGGTCATTCGCATTCTACACCGGTTAACATTTCCATGGTTCAAACCAGGACACGCAATTCCATAAATGTCATGAGACTATCCACATGGACATAGAACAACTGGGCATTGGACTCGCAGCGTGACGTGACCTACTGAACTACAGAGGAGGGACAGCAGAAGACCTTGAAGTTCACCAGCCTATGAAGTGAGTCAAGGTGAAGCTAAGGAGACAGCCATGATTCGCCACGCCTGACGACAGCCAAGGCAGCTTTGGTACTACCGCTCCCAGAGGAGCAGGGATTATGACCGCCGACTGCACAGCGTAACTGTTAATAGCGGGACGTTAATAATTAAGCAACAGCAAGATACATCCTTAAAACAAACTAAACAAAGGAAGTGTGAACAGCAGGTCACCAATCCCTTCCACACCACAGGATGCCCACAAGCCACTTTCAGCCATACATTATTCTGATTCTCTTAAACTAAACCCGGCGTCACCAAAACAGTCCCGCACACATCCTCACACGCTCCCGACGCCTGCTGGCCACATTTTCCAATGACTTCAGCGCCAGCGTTAGAGCGCTAAACTGAGCGTTACGAAGATAGCATGAAGGTGCCTATATCAAGGGGCTCCATCTCCAGACGCTGACAAGTGACAGAATGAGAGAAATTTAGAAGGACAAAAAGTTCAAAGGCCAACAGCAAAAGACAGAAATCCCCAGGCCCAAAAGACAACCATCAGCTTGAGGGACTGTTGGCCTGCGGGACCGGAAAATAACCTTAAGGGTAAATGTTTCTGGCAAGGACAATTCAATCGTGGGCCAGCTGACTCCAGGACGTGTGTTATGACTCGCCCACCCCAGCAACTGTCCTCATTGAACAAGCTTCTCACCCCAGCCCTGAAATGTCAAAGGGCTGAAGGCAGAGCCCCGGATGACATTTCCCTGGAGTCTGTTCCACATGACCAGTCTCCCTTCGACACGGAATCCGTGAAGAGATGGCAAACACTCCAGCGCCACCATGACCTATTAAGTCAACTTCCTCTAAATAGGACAACAGTACGGACCAGCATAATCTGCAACTATCCTACCTTCAGGGAAAAATCATTCATGTTTTAAAAGCATAACGACCCTGAGCACGGTTCTGATGGCCCTGTTTTGCCAAGCACCTCTCTTCTCCATGTCAAACGCTGTCAAGATTGTCAGAAAAGTATAAAAACTGAAAGAAATGAAAGACATTTAAGGGACAACCTTAGCTGTGACAAGCAAAATGCCGACAGATCTGCCCTGTCCTCCTGGGACAAGAGGGAGGCAGGAGGCCCCTCTGCTGTTTCAGGGGAACCAGCCCCCCCCCCCACAAGGCCCAAACAGCATTACTTACACATTCCAAAAGGTGCTGTGTGGGCCAGTAAAAAAAACCAAGCAGAGTAATGCAGAAAAACAAAGGCTGTCCGGATCCGACAGAAGGGTCCTGAGCAAGGGACACGGGGAGGGTTCTGCTGTGGTGTCAGAGAGCTGTCGTTTGGCTTGGCTGCGTGCCGAGGTGACAATGAAGCCTGCATATGGCACTATGC